AATTATTTCATATATACTTCACATCATTTCACTCACGGGAAGATATGAACTCAATTAATTGACCTCGCTCGATGATCATACTTCACTTTTATATTGATTTTCGTTATACGTTAGAGTGAGAGACCATCATTTGCATGCTGTCGTGTGCTTATTTACAAGGCTCATGGAAACCTTTCGCTTGTGATTTAAACAGCTAGCTTTATGCAGCTCAGAGATCTTAATGGCTTGATTTAGTTAAACTCGTAAATGATATACAATACAAGACTCACCACGCCAATGTTGAAATAAAAGCCTGAAGATCACCTTGTATTCCTTGCATGGAGTAACCCTTACCTCAAGTTTATTTCTATTGTTCACGTTACAAAGTGAAAAAGAACCGGATATCCGTCAATCTTTGAGTTAGACTTTTTTCGGAAAGTTAGAAAGTAAAAATTTGTAGCTTATTTTTTTTCCATTTTCCTCAAACCAAAAAGTTCGGGTTTATTTATACTTTTGAACGTGTGTCAGATTTCGGTTTTATTGTGCCGAGATAAGCAAACACGATGAATTTTCCATGCTTTTTTCACCCGTAGATTCACCCTCGTGTTTGCATTTATAAAAGGTAACTGCCGAAATCATTTGTTAAATATAAGCTGGCGTTGTTCAAGAATATTTTAGTTTCCAAGCAATATTATTTTGGCTCCAAAATAGCAAGGGCACAGTTTTATTCGATCCATGAAAAGCGTTCTCCAAAGATTGCGAAAAAAAAAAAGAAAAAAAAGAAAAACCAGTGTAAAGTTTCCAGTGCCAAAAAAGCAGAGATTTGCTGTGAGTGACAGGTGTAACGGAAATTCTATCGGCTTCTAACATTACCATCATGATTCTTTATTTGTCTTGACGAAGAGTCAGAAATATCGCTTTTGAAAATTATTTTCTTTCGATGTATTTATTTAGGGCGGGTTTGAATTTGGCGAACTTTTGACCGGATGTGTGAGTTATCGAAAATAAAACTTTTGCGAAAATAAAATACACGGAGCATGGACCGTGCATAACAAAGATTGAAGTCATTATTATTGATTTCATTGTAGGACAAGGAACTTTTTATTTAACGGAATAAGAGGTAACAGTCTTGTCAGACGTGTATCATGCCGATAAGCTCTGTTACTTCTGGCCATGTAAAACACTTTTGTTCTGAAGTTAATGAGCAAAGCTTGCTTACACCTGCGTTATTCACTGTTGTCATTATGAAAATAAAGCACATGGCATCTAATGTGAAACACTAGACACGATTTTCCTGCTTAAAAAAGTTGAATAATTGAGTCTTACTCATGTGATCGCCTTTTCTGCTATTAGTAACTTGGAATTGAGCCGGGTTTTTTTTAATATTTTGATTACTTTAACAAGATCAGTTAGACCATCAACAAATACTTTGACTTTTAATCTCGTTGCTTAATTGGAGCTGGAAGGCTGTAATGAGAAAAGCTTTGGCTGTGTGCAGTCACAAATCTGCATTAAAAACAATTTAACATGCGGTCTAGAAAATAACCTTTAGCCTGCAGCTATGAGTTCCTTGTAGTAGAAATCTGTCGTAATAAATGCAACATAATTTTGCAGTCTATAGCCATGTCTTTAATCTTCGTGCGCAAGGCCGTAGCCAGGGTTTTTGTAATGGGGGAGTGGGGGAGGCTTGGAAATGCTATTTTCAGTA